TCTGTTTATTATATAGTTCTATGACGAACTTCTTGTTTCTTTTTCTTCTACTATCCCCGTTACTACGTAATATTTTCCCCGTGACATCACAAAATGCTAATTTAAGACATTTAAACAATATCAAACGTTCCCGAAACTGGATGACTCCAAAGAAGATGGTTAAAATTATCAAATATATATATCATTGATTAAATTGGATACGGGGGTTAGAAGATACCGTTTACTATATACAGTGTTTGATTTGTACCAAAATTTTTGTTTTCTGCTTATGTCGTAACTACATAATATTATTCCTTGTGATCTCTAACGAAACAAAACATATCTAACTTTGCAAAATAGTAAAGTCAATGCTTGCATTGAGGACAAGCAATATTATCGACATTACGTAAACAACACCTAAGTCGTATTTGTGATCAGTTATCTAGAATGGTCTGACTTCGGATTCGATAATACATAATGTCCTCTTAGTTTCTTTGTTAAAATATTCGTGAGTTGAATAATTGATGTTAGTATTAAGAATCTTTGGTGCGACAGTCGTTAGCATACATTACGCAAGTTAAACAAATTGCAACAAGGCGGTCCATTTGATCTAATATATGTCACAAATGTTACGCGGTCTAATCAATCTGATTACCTGTCACAATGATAGCTTACTCCTTTCTCTTCCCTAAATTATTATGTGCATTTTGTAGATTGAAGTTTGACCAAAACAAATGTCCGTAAATATTTTGTATCAAGTGAAACATAATCATGAAATACTTCACTTTAGGCTTTGTTTATTGATGAGAGACGACAAAAGGTGGTCCGAACATCTATTCTTAAAAGAGTTAAAAAAGAAGTACAAAACAATATCTACCTATTTTAAGTGTTTTTTTTCTTATAAATTTTCATTACAGTTCATTTATTATTATTATTTTTAAATAATCATTTCATTTATTCTATTCACTTTACCTATTATCTTGACTAAATATAAAATTTGAATGAATTTGATTTTGATGTATAGAAACCTTAAATATCCAAAATGAATGTATTTAAAAGTTCGATTAGTTGTTAAAAAACTAAATTAACCGATTTGGTTTGAGTATTTTGAATCCGAACTAGAATAACTTAGAAACAAATAGCCAAAAGTAATCATATTATCTGATCTGATTCGACTTATATTTTGATATATAACAACTAAAAATATTTGAAAATTACATAATGTCACAAAAAACATATAACACTAATTATGAAAAATAAAATATCAATTTATAAATAATTAAAATATAACCTCTGCATGACCATACGGGTCAGTCTCTAGTACTATTTATCTTTTATACTAACACACAAAACTTTTAAAGTCTTGCATTGTTTTAGTTTTATTAGGGAGTTATTTCAATATATTTTCCAAAAGCAAAAAAAGAATGAAATAGAAGTCCTACATGTTAGCTCGTTGATAATAAATAATTCAAAGAGTCTCGGGAGTAACTTCTTTAATTCATTTTACCAAAAAAAAAGGTTCTCTAATTCATGAGCTTAAACCAATTACACTCTGAGCCATAATGAAAGGTGATCTAACTTTAGTACGGTTCATCCTGACTCAGTTAGAATATCATCTAGGCCCATTAGTTCCACAACTTCTCAAAGGTGTTACATATTGGCCCAGTTTAATAGTTCGACCAGTGAAAACGGCGTCGTTTGGGGATACATGATGGTCAACGCCTGGTGCTTGGTCTGCGTATTCCTCTCACTCACTCTATACCCGTGAAAGAAAAAAACGTTAGGAGGCGAACATGATGAACCTCTCGAGATCCGTCGCATTGATCTCCTTATTCCTTCTTCCGTTTCTTAGCTCCTCCTTCTCCGTCGATAATCCGACGGATCGGCGTGTTCTGGTTCTCCTCGACGACTTATCACTCAAATCCTCTCATTCAACCTTCTTCAACACTCTCAAATCCCGTGGATTCGATCTCGATTTCAAATCGGCAGATGACTCGAAGCTCGCGCTTCAACGGTACGGCCAGTACTTGTACGATGGGCTCATCATCTTCGCCCCGTCTACAGAGCGTAAGATCTTCCATCTCTATGAATATTCGATCGATCTGGACATTTTAGGTTTATCATTTGCTTGATTGTGTTATTATAGGATTTGGAGGATCATTGGATTCGAAATCAGTAGCTGATTTCGTTGATTCGGGTCGCGATTTGATATTATCGGCGGATACTTCTGCTTCTGATCTGATTCGGGGGATTGCAACAGAGTGTGGTGTTGATTTCGATGAGGTGTGGAGAGTTATCTTTTTTATTTATTGGAACAAAATGCGAGATAGGATTTTGATTTGTTAGTTGTTTGTCTCCTTAGGATTCTTCGGCTATGGTTATCGATCATTCCAGCTTCTCCGTCTCTGACGGCGACCACACCTTGATTGCTGCGGATGATTTAGTTAAATCCGATGTCATTTTAGGAAAATCAAAGATTGAGGTAACCTCCATGGTTTTTTTAGAGAGTTATGTATGTGACTAATAATGCTCATAAGCGTCTTGTGTGGATTACAGGCTCCCGTGCTCTTCAGAGGTGTTGCACATTCATTGAACCCTACCAACAATCTGGTGAGTCCAAGAACATGTGCATTGAGTTGATGTGAGTATTGACTTTTTCTAGCTCATGCCTCATACTCTATTGCTAGGTTTTGAAAGTTCTTTCAGCTTCTCCCTCAGCTTATTCTGCTAACCCCACCTCGAAGTTGTCGAGTCCCCCCCAGCTCACTGGCTCTGCAATTTCCCTAGTGTCGGTCATGCAGGTTTGTTTCTCTCTCCTGTAACCAGATACACTGTATATACATGGTCCTGTGAAGTCTGAACAGTCATGTTCTTGGCTGTACTCAGCTCTACACTTGTGAAAGTTATTTTCATTACAAATTTTGATTTATATTTTGAAACTACAGGCCAGGAACAATGCTAGGGTTGTGATCTCTGGCTCTCTGCAGTTGTTTAGCGATAGGTGAGTAGATTTTTGATGGTATCTCTCCAGCTTTTCATGCATATGGATGTTTCTGATTTAGAGATTTTGTTTGCATGCGGCAGGTTATTCAGATCTGGTGCCCAGAAATCTGGGAGTCCGGACAAGTAAGTAGACGCATGTTTCATCAAGTGGAGCTTTTTGTTCATATGATCTGTAGCTAAAGATTTGAGGATTTTTATTTTGTGCATTTCGTTTTGATAGAAGCTTAACTGATCTTATGTAAAACTCTCCCAGATATGAAAAATCTGGCAACGAACAGTTTGTGACTGAACTAAGCAAATGGGTCTTCCACGAAAGAGGCCACCTGAAGGTATACGCAGAGTCTTCTTCACTTGTTTTGGCTCTCTCTTCTAAACCGTTGTGTCTAGAGATTGTTTATTTAATTAGTTACCCCTTTAACCTTCACGGGTCATTTCTCACCTAATTTATGTGTCCAGGCTGGTAGTCTTGTACACCATAGGGTTGGAGAAACAGATGAACCAGCAATATATAGGATAAAGGATGACCTGGTATGGTTTCTACATCGTCTGACTTGCTCAAAATTTCCTCTTCTTAAGTGATAATCGCTTGTTAATATAGTGGGAATCTGCGTGAAGCTTTTAATGTGGCATTTTATGGCAGGAATTTTCGGTGGAGATACTGGAGTGGTCAGGGAAGAGCTGGGAACCGTATGTAGCTGATGATGTACAGGTTCAGTTTTACATGATGAGCCCATATGTTCTGAAAACCTTGTCAACAGACAAGAAGGTGATTTATTTTTTCCAAAACAATGTCGTCTCCTTTTCCGGATTTAAGCTTCTTCCAAGTTTCATCTTTAAAAGCTAGAACTCAGTCTGCTTGGTGTTGCCTAAATGTGCAGGGTCTGTTTCATACATCATTCAAGGTTCCTGATGTGTATGGTGTATTCCAGTTTAAGGTTGAGTATGAAAAGCTCGGCTACACTACATTATCTCTTTCAAAGCAGGTGAGTAACTATCTTCTTAGAGTTTTGATAACTTTCTGGACAAAAGACATGTCACGTTAAACAATAATGCGGACAACATATGCAGATTCCTGTGCGGCCTTACAGACATAATGAGTATGAGAGGTTTATTCCAACTGCGTATCCTTATTATGGAGCCTGCTTTACCACTGTAAGCCCCACCATACTTCCCTCTTCTCTCTTTTTTCACAGATAGCTGATGAAGAGGAGCTAACACATAATCTTTTGCTTTTCCAATGTAGATGGCTGGTTTCTTTGTCTTCAGCTTCGTCTACCTCTACCATAAGTAGAAAGTTCCTTCAGTGGTTCTCCAGTTTCATAAAGTAAGCTAGACCTTCATATGTAGACGAAAAAAATACATTTGAATCTTGATACCATTAGTATTTTTGCCAACAAAGCTTTAAAACACTTTCAACCTTTTGTCTTGATCTCCAGATATTTTATGTGAACGTGCTTACACCTTTCTTAGTTAAAAGATAAAAGTTTTGTATGTCATAGACACACTAATCACCATTTAAAAACCATAATGGGACGTGTCTGGTTGATGAGAAAAGTTTGGGGAATAAATAGTATCCTCCTAAGTACCGGGTATACGTGTAAATTACATTAAGTTATGTGATTAATACCAGAATATCTGGTAGGTGTGTGTGAATAAGAAATTTCAACCATACTTTAATTAGTAGTCAAAGGTAGTAGCTACAATTATAAAAACTCACTAAATATCTGTTCTTGCCTGTACAAAGTACTAGAAGGCACCTAAATAAGTGAAAGACAAGGATATACATGTAATGCAGAGATCATCAAATGTGCATGAGAAAATGAGGAAACTGTACGTACATATGTGGAAAAGAAAAAGTAGAAGGTCCGTTGTGCATATACGTAAGTATAGGGTGTTAATCTTAGACCACTAATTTAGTAGTGAGGGGAGCATTTTAAAATAAAATAAAGTGTTGGACTTGTAATATAATAAGATAAAAAGTGTGGAGTGGAATCAGTCAAACTGGCGACCAATGGAAAAAAAAGATCAAACGAGAAGAAGACAAAGTCAAAGAAGACAGACAGAAGAAGCAACTCAGCTGTTTCTCTCCTCGAGCACTCTCTCTAATTGTAACTCTGAGAGAGTTGAGCTAAAAAAATCTTATCTCTTCCCGGATCCACAACAATTGTTAGGTATTTACTTTCTTTTCTCTCCAATATTCGATCCCACTTTGAACTTCAGTATACTCCTCTTGTCTCCTCGATCAAGTACACACTATTATTAGATTCCAGCATTCTTTTTGGGAAAGCTTTTGCTCAAACACTGTGGTTCTAGATCCTGTGCTTCTATCTAAAAGTCAAACCCTTTGAGTCTTTTGTCTTCCCCCTCACTGTCCATGTTTCTTAGATTATTCTCCAAAACAATGGAAGAAGACAAATCAAACTCCAGCAGGAACAGAACACCACCTCTTAAACAGATCCGAACAGACATGGGTTCCTTATACTCAGAAGATCTTACTTCCTACAAGTCTGCCTGTAAAGAAGACCCAGATTTACAATCCTTCGACTCCTCCCTTCATCAACGCACCAACAGAGTCATCAACTCCCTCGCCTCCGGTGCTGAATCTCGTTCTTTATCTTGTGAAGCCCTCATCGAAGTATCCGGTTGTCTCCTCGAAATGAACCAAGAAGTCGTCAAGTTCATCATCGAAAGCAGAGAAGATGTTTGGGACAACAAAGACTTGACTTGTTTGGTAAACGCTTACTTCGACAGCAGCATCAAGACCTTAGACTTCTGCAATGCTGTCGACAACTGCGTCAAACGAGCCAGGATAGGTCAAATGATCATTCAGTTTGCTGTCAAGCAGTTCGAGATTGAGTCTAAAGTGAAAACACCCGTGGAGCCTGGTGGTACTAACAAGTACGCAAAGACTTTGGAAGAGCTTAACAAGTTTAAAGCTTCAGGTGATCCATTTGATGGAGACTTCTTCATGCTCTTTGAGTCTGTTTACGAGCAGCAGGTTATGCTTCTTGAGATACTCCACAAGCAAAAGAGGAAGCTTGACAAGAAGCTCAAGAACATTAAGCATTGGAAGAAGATATCTAACGTGGTCTTCGTTACCGCGTTTGTCTCTGTTTTGATCTTCTCTGTGGTCGCAGCAGCTATAGCAGCGCCACCGGTTGTGACTGCGGTTGCAGCTGCGTTGGCGGTTCCACTAGGTTCTGTAGGGAAATGGTGTAGTCATCTTTGGAAGAAGTATGAAACTGCTGTGAGAAGACAGAAAGATCTTGTTCTGTCGATGAAGGTTGGTGTTCATATCACAATCAAAGACATGGAGAACATCAGAGTCCATGTAGATAAGTTGAAGATTGAGATGGAATCTATGATGCAAAGAGTTGATTTTGCAATCAAGGAGGAGGAAGAAGTAGTGGCTGTGAGGCTTGCGATGGAAGAGATCAGCAAGAGGTTTGATGTTTTCACAGAGAGATTAGAGGAAGTGGGTGAAAATGCGGCTAAGTGTAGCAAAGACATCACATTGGCGAGAACAATTGTTTTGAGACATATTCTAAGTTTCCCCACTAGTTCAGAGTCAGAGCAAGGCAACTTGTAAGTCTCTCCCCCATACTTTTCTTTTTTTAATTGTGTGTGTGTGTGTGTGAAGTTTAGATCTCTTAATGGCTCACTTATTTGCGTTTCTTTTGCTCAGGATTGAAGCTATCACATTGTGAGGGATAGATTGTATAAATAAACCAATGGTTTTGGGAAGAGGTATGTCACATATATAGCTTATACGTAGCTGTGTGCCAGCTCTTGTGTGCATATGTAATGTATCTGTTAAGGAGGTGGCTCCACAGCATAATGTAAACACACAATTGAAAATAAAATCCAGAGTCGATATTTGATGATTACTGATACATAAGAGTTGTGGAAAGAATGTATATACTTAGTTAAGACAGTAAATTGTACACTAGGCCTGGCGAGTCGCTTATGACGTTGGAAGCTTAGCTTGATGCGTGTATAATCATCAACATTAGCTGACCAATGATGCTATTCTCGTAAAATGACGATCTAATCTCAGTTTATCATTCTCTGATACGAGAAACTGCTCAATTAAATTACTCAAACTCGCAAATAGCGTGGATTGTTTTTTCATATAAATAATTTCAAACCTAATTAATATTCATACTATGTTCGTGTATGATGTAGTTATGCATTAAAACAAAAATTACATTTTTTATAATTTTTCTTGAAATATGTGGGCTCCTATGAAAAAGCTGAATTTTCCGTTAAATACTATATATAGTATTTACTATCTTTCGTGTTGTTTAAAAAATACCTGAACGCACTCTAAAATTTTATATATGTTTGATTAATTTATATTAATGGTACATGTGAATCAATTCTAATTTTCTAATGACTAATTTATTTAACATTCATATATCACTTAATATGTGGATTATCCTCAATAAAAATCATATTTTCTGGATAAATAGAAACATTTAAGTACTCAAAACTATTTAATATTCATACTATGTTGGTGTATGATGCAGCTATGCATTAAAATAAAACTTTCATTTTTTATATTTTTCTTGAAAAATGTGGGCTAACCCCTATGAAAAAACTGAATTTTCCGTTAAATAATATATATACTAGTTACCATCTTTCATGTTGTTTAAAAAATACCTAAACGCACTGCAAATTTTATATATGTCTTCTAAACATATCTTTATGGTACATCGACATCATTTCAAATTTTTCAGTGACTAATTTATTTAACATTCATATATCACTTAATATGTCGATTAACCCCTATAAAAAACCTATTTTATGGAGCAATAGAATTATTTAAGGTCTCAAACCTATTTAATATTCATACTATGTTGGTGTATGATGAAGATTTGCATTAAAACAAAATTTACATTTTTTATAATTTTCCTTGAAATATGTGGGCTAACCACTATGAAAAAACTGAATTTTCCGTTAAATACTATATATACTATTTACCATCTTTCTTGTTGTTTAAAAAATACATAAATGCACTCCAAAATTTTATATATGTTTGCTTAACTTATCCTTATGGTACATGTGAATCATTTCTAATTTTCCAATCATTAGTTTATTTAACATTCATATATCACTTAATATGTGGATTAACCCCAATAAAAACCCTATTTTCTGGAGAAACATTTAAGGTCTCAAATCTATTTAATATTCATACTATGTTGGTGTATGATGCAGCTATGCATTAAAACAAAAATTCCATTTTTTTATAATTTTTCTTGAAATATGTGGGCACTATGAAAAAGCTGAATTTTCCGTTAAATACTATACATAGTATTTACCATCTTTCGTGTTGTTTAAAAAATACCTAAACGCACTCCAGAATTTTATATATGTTTGATTAACTTATCTTAATGGTACATGTGAATCATTTCAAATTTTCCAATGACTAATTTATTTAACATTCATATATCACTTAATATGTGGATTATCCCTAATAAAAATTCTATTTTTTAGAGAAATAGAAACATTTAAGGTCTCAAACCTATTTAATATTCATACTATGTTGGTGTATGATGAAGCTATGCATTAAAATAAAANATGTGAATCATTTCAAATTTTCCAATGACTAATTTATTTAACATTCATATATCACTTAATATGTGGATTATCCCTAATAAAAATTCTATTTTTTAGAGAAATAGAAACATTTAAGGTCTCAAACCTATTTAATATTCATACTATGTTGGTGTATGATGAAGCTATGCATTAAAATAAAAATTTCATTTTTTATATTTTTCCTTGAAAAATGTGGGCTAACCCCTATGAAAAAGCTGAATTTTCCGTTAAATACTATATATACTATTTACCATCTTTCATGTTGTTTAAAAAATACCTAAACGCACTCCAAATTTTATATATGTTTGCTAAACATATCTTTATGGTGATCATGTCTAATTTTCCAATGATTAATTTATTTAACATTCATATATCACTTAATATGTCGATTAACCCCAATAAAAATCCTAATTTATGGAGAAATAGAATTATTTAAGGTCTCAAACCTTTTTAGTATTCATACTATGTTGGTGTATGATTAAGCTATGCATTAAAACAAAAATTCCATTTTTTATAATTTTTCTTGAAATATGTGGGCTAACCACTTTGAAAAAGCTGAATTTTCCGTTAAATACTATATATAGTATTTACCATATTTCGTGTTGTTTAAAAAATACCTAAACGCACTCCAAAATGTTATATATGTTTGCTTAACTTATCCTTATGGTACATGTGAATCATTTATAATTTTCCAATCATTAGTTTATTTAACATTCATATATCACTTAATATGTGGATTAACCCCAATAAAAATCTTATTTACTAGAGAAACGGAAACATTTAAGGTCTCAAATCTATTTAATATTCATACTATGTTGGTGTATGATGCCTCTATACATTAAAACAAAAATCCCATTTTTTATAATTTTTCTTGAAATATGTGGGCTAACCCCTATGAAAAAGCTGAATTTTCCGTTAAATACTATATATACTAGTTACCATCTTTCAAGTTGTTTAAAAAATACCTAAACGCACTCCAAATTTTAGTATATGTTTTCCAAAAATATCTTTATGGTACATGGGCATCATTTCAAAATTTTCAGTGACTAATTTATTTAACATTCATATATCACTTAATATGTCGATTAACTCCAATAAAAATCCTATTTTCTCGAGAAATAGAAACATTTAAGGTCTCAAACCTACTTAATATTCATACTATGTTGGTGTATGATGAAGATTTGCATTAAAACAAAAGTTACATTTTTTATAATTTTCCTTGAAATATGTGGGCTAAACCACTATGAAAAAGCTGCATTTTTCGTTAAATACTATATATAGTATTTACCATCTTTCTTGTTGTTTAAAATATACCTAAACGCACTCTAAAATTTTATATATGTTTGCTTAACTTATCCTTATGGTACATGTGAATCATTTCTAATTTTCCAATCATTAGTTTATTTAACATTCATATATCACTTAATATGTGGATTAACCCCAATAAAAATCCTATTTTCTGGAGAAACGGAAACACTTAAGGTCTCAAATCTATTTAATATTCATACTATGTTGGTGTATGATGCAGCTATGCATTAAAACAAAAATTCCATTTTTTATAATTTTTCTTGAAAAATGTGGGCTAACCACTATGAAAAAGCTGAATATTTCGTTAAATACTATATATAGTATTTACCATCTTTCATGTTGTTTAAAAAATACCTAAACGCACTCCAAAAGTTTTATATATGTTTGCTTAACTTATCTTAATGGTACATGTGAATCATTTCAAATTTTCCAATGACTAATTTATTTAACATTCATATATCACTTAATATGTGGATTATCCCTAATAAAAATTCTATTTTTTAGAGAAATAGAAACATTTAAGGTCTCAAACCTATTTAATATTCATACTATGTTGGTGTATGATGAAGCTATGCATTAAAATAAAANATGTGAATCATTTCAAATTTTCCAATGACTAATTTATTTAACATTCATATATCACTTAATATGTGGATTATCCCTAATAAAAATTCTATTTTTTAGAGAAATAGAAACATTTAAGGTCTCAAACCTATTTAATATTCATACTATGTTGGTGTATGATGAAGCTATGCATTAAAATAAAAATTTCATTTTTTATATTTTTTCATGAAAAATGTGGGCTAACCCCTATGAAAAAGCTGAATTTTCCGTTAAATACTATATATAATATTTACCATCTTTCATGTTGTTTAAAAAATACCTAAACGCACTCCAAATTTTATATATGTTTGCTAAACATATCTTTATGGTGCATGGGCATCATGTCTAATTTTCCAATGATTAATTTATTTAACATTCATATATCACTTAATATGTCGATTAACCCCAATAAAAATCCTAATTTCTGGAGAAATAGAATTATTTAAGGTCTCAAACCTTTTTAGTATTCATACTATGTTGGTGTATGACTAAGATATGCATTAAAACAAAAATTCCATTTTTTTTAATTTTTCTTGAAATATGTGGGCTAACCACTTTGAAAAAGCTGAATTTTCCGTTAAATACTATATATAGTATTTACCATCTTTCGTGTTGTTTAAAAAATACCTAAACGCACTCCAAATTATTATATATGTTTTCTTAACTTATCTAAATTGTACATGTGAATCATTTCTAATTTTCCAATGACTAATTTATTGAACATTCATATATCACTTAATATGTGGATTATCCCAATAAAAATCCTATTTTCTGGAGAAATAGAAACATTTAAGGTCTCAAACCTATTTAATATTCATACTATGTTGGTGTATGATGAAGCTATGAATTAAAATACAAATTTCATTTTTTATATTTTTTCTTGAAAAATGTGGGCTAACCCCTATGAAAAAGCTGAATTTTCCGTTAAATACTATATATACTATTTACCATCTTTCATGTTGTTTAAAAAATACCTAAACACACTCCAAATTTTATATATGTTTGCTAAACATATCTTTATGGTGCATGGGCATCATGTCTAATTTTCCAATGATTAATATATTTAACATTCATATATCACTTAATATGTCGATTAACCCCCTAAAAATCCTAATTTCTGGAGAAATAAAATTATTTAAGGTCTCAAACCTTTTTAGTATTCATACTATGTTGGTGTATGATTAAGCTATGCATTAAAACAAAAATTTTATTTTTTATAATTTTTCTTGAAATATGTGCGCTAACCACTTTGAAAAAGCTGAATTTTCCGTTAAATACTATATATACTATTTACCATCTTTCATGTTGTTTAAAAAATACCTAAACGCACTCCAAATTTTATATATGTTTGCTAAACATATCTTTATGGTGCATGGGCATCATGTCTAATTTTCCAATGATTAATTTATTTAACATTCATATATCACTTAATATGTCGATTAACCCCAATAAAAATCCTAATTTCTGGAGAAATAGAATTATTTAAGGTCTCAAACCTTTTTAGTATTCATACTATGTTGGTGTATGATAAAGCTATGCATTAATACAAAAATTCCACTTTTTATAATTTGTCTTGAAATATTTGGGCTAACCACTTTGAAAAAGCTGAATTTT